ACCATCAACTTTCATTTCCTTTATGAAAATCCAGGTAGAACGCAAAGGTTATTTCCTGGAGGAAGATCAACCAATTCTCAAGTATGATTACTTAATATGGATTCTATCTCACTATTGACTGCCTCTTCCAATATTGTGCTTCCGAGGAAGACAATATTTCTTTAAACGTTTGAGACTCATTTTCCAACAAGAATGTCAGAAAATCCGGTCCAAAGAAAGTAGTTATCCTTTGACGTTTACTACATCTTGGAATTTTCTAATTCAACGTACTTTCCTTTGCTTCTTTCCGATTTCGCTTAGATATTTGACTAGACGACTCACATTCCTTTTTATACGGATACATATTCTCAAAGAATTCAACATTATCTGATTCGATTACCGTATTAATATGAATGTCGGGATTTTTTTAAATTTATGAATCAGAAAACGATATGCCTTACTATTTGTTGCATATCATATGAAAACGGAATCAACAGTTTTCGATCCGATTTTTATCCTTTTAGGTTTAAGAAATTGCACTTTACCCAAATACCCCCCCACACTTGGAAATATTTCAAGTTGGGTTTTCTTCCTTTCATTCATTTTTTCATATGAATGGATTGCGTTTTGCTATGGGGAACTCAATTGAGTATTCAGTTAGCGGTAAGAATAGCTTCTCCCCACAAGATTTGGGGTAAACCAGAACTTACAACAAGGCATTTTATCACCTCCTTTAACGTTCTACTCTTTCTTTCCGCAATTTCATTAGATTGCGCTAAGTAAGGGGCAATCGTTTGGTGAATAATGCCATATTCCAAATATATTTCTTCAAACGCCGCCTCTATTACTTTGTAGAGCCAACCACATGAACTGTTGTTTGTGTCATAACAGAGCCAGAATAAATGGTGAAGTTTTTAATCTTCAAACCAATCTGACACAATCAGAATTAATAAACGGTGAAGTTTTTAATCTTCTAACCGAGTAATACCTGATACCGGATCTAATAAATGGTAAAATTTTTAATCTTCAAACCGAGTAATATGTGACACAATCAAATTTAATAAACGATGAAGTTTTTAATCTTCAAATCGAATAATAAATTAGAGTAGAAAATCACTAAGATTTTAATCTCCAAAACGAGTATAAAGTCAATTAGACTTTAATTTTCGACAAATGAGTTGAACGTCACGAAGACTTTAATCTCAACGAATGAGTAAAAAATCACGCAGATTTTGATCTCAAAGCAGGAGTAGAAAATCACAAAGATTTTATTCTCCATAACGAGTGTAGAAAATCACAAGAATTTTAATTCCCTTTCCAAATGGTTTTCCAACTAAACCATCATAACACTTTAATCTCTTTCTCTAATCAACTAGCGCAATAAACAACCCTGAGATATGTTCATGTTGCTTATATCCATGGTATATGTTCTAAGTCTTTGTATTTTCATAAACATGTGAGTCTTATTTTCAACCCATGGTTAACGTGCAAATTTCGTTCGTCCATCTGATGCCACGCAGAGAAAATTTCCAATAAGCTCACCATAAAAGGGAGATTCTTTTGAGAATCAAATAACGATGCCGAGAGAGATTGAAATTGTTCTCGCGTTATTTGCCCCACATATTCCCACAAAATGATGGCAGTACTAATGGCATCACGTATTGGGGTTTCACGTAGTCACTAAAGTAATTCACATGGAATCTTTCAGAGAAAATTCCAAACTAGATGCAATATTACTTCAACAAAAGAATATTCTGATAGATAAGCAGCCTATAATCATCCGGATCGGCAGACTAACAATAAGAATTCCATTCTGAATTAATCTCTTTATCAACCATCCGAAATTAATTAATTCTTCTAAATCATAGATGAGATATTTCAAAAGTTTCTTCTCTAAAACTTGAATGAAAGCATCGCCATTTTATTGGACTTAACCAAATCAATCACATAGAGAACCGTATGAAGCATCACAATTGCAAAACATTCAAATTCTTTAATTTTTTCTTTCTCGTCAGAAAAGTTAGATGTTAAGACAAACACAGAAAATAAATTGATAAATTCCTTAAGATTGTTGGTGTTATACTTTGTTCAAAATCAGAAAATTAGAGAAGTAAACAAACGTTAGTTCAATAAACAAAACGTAAAATAATTCCGAGCCCACTGAATGCACAATGTGTCCTTAAGGAATTTAATCCCCTCACTGTTGCCCAAGGTATACGGATTAATTCCTCCCAGGATAGAAAGGAATAACTATTCTGTGATAACGGCACTTCAAATCACAGAACTTCAGCGAACTCAACAAACAGAGCAAATCACACTTGACACTTATGTTTATTTACAAAATAATGCAACAATGTAGAAAAGAGGGGAGAAGATTTTAGATTTTACATGTCTGATTTCATGTCTAAAAAATGAGGCCAAGCCTCTAAATTTATAGACAAAGGAAGGGTGATATGGAGAGGTGCAATCTAAAAGGTGCCTCTTTCATTTCCCATTCACACCCCTTAATAAAAACGCAACAACTGTGACTGTGCTTGAGGGTCTATTTGCGTACACACTATCCTCCGCACATTTCTCGTGTGGGAATATAGTGAATATGCTGTATAACTAATGCAATATTTGGTTGGTAGTATTTTAAGTAATATCCGCATTAAGTTATGGATAATTTGGAATTAGAATGAACTATTTAAGACAAACGTCCTACTCAAGTAACTCATGTATAACAATATGTTCATTATTAGTCACATAAAGAGTAAAAAAGTACTAATATCTTTTTACATATCTTCTCTAATCTGATCTTCTAACATAATTTGAATCCACACAGCCTACAATGATAACACTCAATTTTGTCGTAAAAATAGCATGGTTTAGCCAATTTTTGGACTGGTCATTCAAAAATAGTCAGCGTTTACCAAGTTAATGAAAAATAGCTACTATTTTGCTGCAACAGAGACCGATCCAGTATAATATACTGGAGTTCAGTGCACCTGTGTATGAACTTCCAGCATATTATGCTGGACCGGTATACTTTGCTGGCTGCAGTATAATATACTGGAGACTAGAGCATCGGTGCTCCAAACTCCAGTATGTTATGCTGGACCGATATATTATAGAGAAAATCTCACTTTATACCCATTAATTCTAAACTATTTACCCTTTAATGCCCAGGCCCAAACTATTTACTACTCCTACCCACGAGGCCCAAACTATTTACCCGGTTGTTTTCACTGTAATACCTAGCTAAGATGAGGTTCTCAACAGAAAAAAAAGTTCATCCCTGTGGTGAATTAAGGGTCCGCTAAGAAAAAGTTTGGACACCATTAACGAGGAAGAAGCTTATCCATCAACCATTTCATCTTCTGTGGAAAAAAGAGAGATACCATAAAATTTCTCTCTCCACATAATGTTTGTGGCATTGCCGCCGCTTATAATAAGCGTTAGCGCTAGTAGCAAGTAGGATAATAAACTAGGAGCTGTTCTCCTACTAAACAAGCAATAATTTATTTATTTATTCTTCTTTTTTCCAATTCAATTTTTCCCTGTTGTGAGCTCCACCAGTGTGCTGTAAACAGCAGTTGAAGATTTCTTGTTTGATTCAAAGTGGGTGCTGTTAAATATTGCTTATAGTACCTTCTGGAAGTTCATACGAAATTTGATAGCATTTGGAGCTGATTTGAGGTGATTGAGATCGAAATTTTCTGCTGAAAATCGAAGAACACAGCTACAATATACTGCTGCGCTATACAATATGTTGTAGGAGTATATAGCAATACTACAACAGTATACTATTATAGTTTACAATATACTGCAACGGTATATTGTAATAATCGAAGAAGAACACAGTTACCTAACAGTATACCGCCACAATGTACAATATACGATAGGAGTATATAGTTCTACTGCAACAGTATACTATTATAGTATACAATATATTGTTATAGTATACTGTAATAATATGCAATATACTGTAACAGTATGCTGTAATAGTATATAATATACTATAACAGTATACTTATTACACGTAAATTCACTTGCCTTTTCCCTTTTAATTTGCTTTAAGCTTTTACCGAGCGTGAGGGGCAAATTGAAAATGCAAAAAAAAAAAATAAAAAATTATAATATGCTATATAATGTAACGGTATACTCTTACTATTAGATCCTTTTAGAATTTTTTTGAAATTTTTATTGACACCTGATATTATTTCAGTTTAATATTTTATTAAATTTTTTTTACCTCTTTGCGTACAATTATATACCCTGTTGGTATAGCTATATACTATACTGTTATCATATGTTAGTTATTTTTTGGTTGTATTAGCTACATCTAATTGGTACACAATTTGATTTTTTCTTTAGTAATAGTATTAAAAAAAGAATAATAAAAAATAGTAAAAGCAGTAAATGAAATTAGATTATGAAGAGAAAAAGAATATAAAAAAAGAAGTTAATGAAATAAGAAAAGGAAAAAAGAAAAAAATAAGAAGAAACGAGAAAAAAGAAAAAAAGAAGCATAGAAATAAAAAAGAATTGGAGAATAAAGAAAAAGTTCCCCAAATGTAATTAGTTTATGGGTAGAAAAACAAATGGGTAGACAAGGGTAAATAGTTTTGTTTTTGTGGGTAACTGTGTCAAAACCCCTATATTATACTGGAACTCCAGTATATTATGCTGGAGTATTTTTCCGGATTTTGAACAGTTTTTTCGTTCAGATTTATCTTTACATGAAAAGTGGCTAAATTTCGATTACTTTTGAAACTGCGCTATTTTTAAACGACCACTTGTAAATCTGGCTATTTTTGAATTTCTCCCAATTTTGTCTGTCAAATGTCGGACCAACGTCAAGAATACCCTCCCAGGATTAATGCGATTTTATCCCAATAAACATAGGATATACTCATCTCAAATTTAATCTCAAAATTAATTATCCCTTATCCTTCGTACCAAACGAGGAGTACCTTAAAAGTTTCACTGTATGCAAATGCTCTTTGCTTAAAAATGCCTATTATCTACTCATTACAGCATTAAAAATTTGTAAAATATCAGGACGAGTGCAAACCATAACATACATAATACATAATACTACCATAATAACACTAAAAGAAGTCCTGATAGCAGGAAAAGAAGAACACACAGTAATAACTACGTCCACCTTCAGTTTGAGTCTCCTTTCTTGTGATTTTTATGCTCATTAACAGGTGGAGGTTGTATTTTACAGGGCTTTACTGTATTCAAGTCACACTGAGATTTTTTCCCACAAAACACATTCCACCTTTTCTTTGTTTTTACCACCTTTTTAAACTCCTGTTTCATGCTGTTACATTCCTTTTCTAGCTCTGCAACACGCTCCCTCATATCGTTGATGCTTGATCCCCTACCATTTGCTGTGTTCGTGTCACGGTTGCCTCCACGAATACTACTTTGGGAGTTGTCAAGATTATCAGAGACAAAAAACCATCCTGATATTGATGTTCGTAGCCGAAGTTGTTCAAAGAACAAGATTTGAACTATGACCCTAAGAGGTAACCTCTCATTTTGAGCAGCGTGTGTACAAGCCTCTAATGACAGCTTCTGGCAATTCATTAGTCTGCAGATTTGCTCTCTTTCTGAGTCTGTGAGCCAAGGATGTGCCTAAAATTGAATTCATGTGTAAGATAACATGCATATAAGGAAAGTAACATTAAATTTGAAGGAAAAGAGGTTGAGAAATGAATTTTGACAATACTTGTTTTTTGAAAAATAGTTGAAAGTTGACAACTTTAAAAAAAGGCAGCCCGGTGCATAAAGTTTCCCGCGTTCACGCAGGGTCCGGGAAAGGACCTCACCCCAAAGGGGTGTTATGTAGGCAGCCTACCCTGATGCAAGCATCAATGATTGATTCCACGACTCGAACTCGTGTCCTAGGTCACAACTTGACCATTGCATCAGTAACTAACAACTTTTACATGTCACAAAAATACTAAAACAGATGTATTTATCCACATGCTATATATGAAATGATTAAACCTCTCTAGCTAAAAGGGCAGCCTGGTGCACTAAACTCTCGCTATGCGCAGGTCCGTGGAGATGCCGGATCACAAGGGTCTATCGTACACAGTCTTACCCTACATTTCTGCAAGAAGTTGTTTCCACGACTCGAACCCGTAACTTCCTGGTCACATGGCAGTAATTTTACCAGTTACGCCAAGGCTCCCCTTCTAAACCTCTCTAGCTAGTCTAATAACAATGATTAAGCCTCACTAGTCTTTCTTTCCTGCCCCATGTTACCAATTTTGCAGTTCTCATGGAAAGGAAAAAGTAAAACAGGATTTAGTGTAATCAAGAAAGATCAGCATATTACTTAAGTGAAAATGGACAACTATGTGTTACCTTCAAGTATATATCAATGGCACGATAAATACCATCAGAAAGTGGCCTAGCGAAATCTGGGATTGTAGCAGCAAGAGACTGAAACTTTGGGAACTTAAAATTAACATCCGGCGCGACCTCCGCGAGATATGAATCCACCAGATTTGACACCCTTGTTAATGAAGTCAAGGGAAGTGAACCTTCCATCAATTGACTTTCTTCCATAATACAAGGAGAAGATGCAGAAGAAGCCTGTTCTATTGACATAAAATGGTCCAGAATTCTCTGAAAACAGTCTATGTCATATAAAGTCTCCACTGAATATCCCATATTTGGTATTAGCACATCATCTAGAGCAGCTTGATCTAATTGCAATCCCACTCTTCTCTCCAAATTCTCTCTGCAAGATGGACTTGCTTGCAACATCATCGCAGTTCTGAGCAGCCTCAGAAGAAACCTGTCTCGAGACATAATATAATTAAGTAATTAGAAGTGTGTTCTTTCTAACAACTTAAGCTATGAGATGATTTACACAACTTAATATTAAAGCAGGCAAAAGGTCGTAAGTTCAAATAAATATTTTCACATGTTTGGTTCATGAAAAAGAATCAAGCCCACACGTGAGGCGGTATGTTGAGACATAATATAATTAAGTAATTAAAAAGTGTGCTCTTTTTAACAACTTAAGCTTTAAATGAGGTAATTCACACAACTTAATATAGTATTAGAGCAGGCAGAAGGTCCTAAGTTCAAATCAATATTTCACGCGTTTGGTTCATGAAAAACAATCAGGCCGACACGTGAGACGGTATGTTGAGACATAATATAACTAAGTTATTAAAAGTGTGCTCTTTCTGACAACCTAAGCTTTTAAATGAGATAATTCACATAACTTAATTAGAGCAGGTAGAAGGTCCTAGGTTCAAATCGATATTTTCACGTGTTTGGTTCATGAAAAAGAATCAGACCTACACGTGGAGGGGTATGCCGAGACATAATATAATTAAACAATTAAAAGTGTGCTTTGTCTAACAGCTTAAAAACCTGGTTTCTGTTACTCCTTTTTGATTTGGTAGCAATTCCATTATCTCCTCAAGAAGTACCCTTTGGTCTGCCTCTGATGGAGTGGAAATTGTTGATCCTGATTTAGTATGGCTAGTAGCATCCTTAAAACTTGCTTGTCTATTCATCAAAGGTATATATTTCTTGGCATAAAACACAAGTGCACCTGCTATATTTTCAGGGCTCATTCCTCCGGCTTCAACCGCCTGAATCAATCGTTTGTAAAGAGGTAAGCTAAGGAACGACACATCTTCGTACCACCAATCATCTGTCAAGGGTTGTGTCCTCTTTTCGGCGCTTATACCATTCCATATATCCGCGCCTGTGGTACCCTCTTGACCATTTTCAGAAACAGGCCAATTAAATAACTTAGTATCAGTACAAGCTTTCATTGCTAAGGAATTTATACATCTTGAAACTATATGAAGTTCTTCAGCATGTGGTAAAACTTCTTCACAGGTTTCTAAAGCTTTTATAGTATCTGTCCAATTCCCAAAAACATCATTAAGAAAAACTTCTGTTTGTGTAATGAGATTTCCATCTCCAGTTTCTTCTGTCATTTGCAAATACTCTGATGCACATCTTAGACTAACTATATTTAAAGGAGTAAGTTCTAATTTGACACCATAACAAAATTTTGCTACTAGTTCAAATGCTTTAGCACCACCAGGTATGTCACTGAGCTGCAGAACACAAACTGATCCGTCGTCGTTCGATGATTCTTTAATTAGCTTTGCTAGTAGTCCACTTCTTGATATCAATGGGAACTGCAAAAATAATATGCAAAACAACAAGATAATGCACAAACAATACATCTAAATGATACAATAACTGATAAATATAGTCAAACCTTTCTATAACAGTTATCCTCTATAACATACACGTTTTCTTTGGAACCATTATTTTATGTTATGTTATAATATATGTTCCACATAGTAGCACTTCACATCACTATAGCAGCCTAAAAATTTCTGAACAAACAATGTTGTTATAGAGATGGTTGACAGTAAATAAAAAAGGTGTACCTTGTGTAGATAAAAGGACATTTCTCCAATTTCAATTGTAACATCACTAGGAAGGCCTGATGTGCAATGCCTGAATACAAAGAAAACATTTCTAATTTTTCTGCTCAGATGCAAAAAGAAATCAATGTTTAGTTTGACTTTTTTTGGTCCCTATTTCATCATTATTTATCCCTATTGAAACTGATTATTTGTCAATCAACTTTTCTAGTCATCCACATATTAAAAATCAAGTCAGATAATTAGAGCTCAATGGCCCTATAATTAATTTTCCCCTGTCATTTTTCTAGTTTCAACAGTTGCATACATTACTTGACTAATCTCTACATATGTAGCCACAACAGATTTAGAAAAAAATTGAAATTTACCAGAAAATCATTGGAACTTTCATTTTATATGACGGTATTTGATTGAGCATGAAGTTTATTAGAAAGACTTTTGGCACATGCATGCCAAAATAGAGGCAAGTGCACAAGTAGCCATTTTCAGGGATGCTATTTAGAGATTAGCCAGTACTTATTTCTCCTGAATTTTTAAACTAAAAATCTCAACGTCAGGACAATGTAGAACATTGAGGGTGTTTGGCTAAGCTTATAAGCTGATCAAACTAGCTTATAAGCACTTTTCGGCTTATCTACGCGTTTAGTAAAGTTAAAAGTGCTTATAAGTCAAAAATAAGCCAAAAGCCATAAGCTGGTTACCCCCAGCTTATGAATTTTTAGCTTATAAGCACTTTAAGTTTGACCAAGATTTTTACTATTTTATCCTTAAAATATTCTTTTGAAACGAAATTCTTACATCGATACACACTGCCTCAAGTATTGTTTCAAACCCCCCCCGCCCCCCTCCCCCTCCAT